AAAAAAAAAATTTGTCCCGACGATCTATCTTCTATACGCAAATGGCTACCATATTGAAAAATATACTATTTTTGTATGATAATTATGGGTTTTGTATTTTATTTTAATAGAAGTTGATGTTGCTTTTGCAATTATCCATCAATTTTTTAAAATTAAACACTATCTACAGATTTGCATCGAAGCGTTTTTTATGATAGTGATTTTAATCACTGTCAGATTAAATTTATACTGGACCCTACTATGCAATGTCTCTACTATGCCGCGACCCCACTGTGCTACCGTTTTTTTTAAAGTGTTCCGGAATCTCTTACACTTTTATATATGTATATCTTAAATTAAAGCTTATGTAATATATTTTGGAAAAAAAAATTCAGGCATTATTTTGTCTTCACGGTGAAAACATATATCAAAGTTAATAAAAAAAAAAACACAACACAAAGGGTGACGGCACAGTGGTGACGTGGCATAGTTGGGTCAAGTATAATATCTGCTATTTTCTTATTAATATTCTGATTAAGATAAAGTATGTCGAGTAAAAAGGAATATAAATATTATTTCTCATAAAAAAATTGTGTTAATCCATACACTTTTCAAAAAGTTATAGTATTATAATGTAAAAAATGTAAAAAATAAAATTGAGAATTTTCACACAAAAATAGCATATGGTAGTCACTTACATCGTGAAGACAAAATAAAGTCCGAAATTTTTTTTTTCCATAAGAATGTATATCACATTAAATTAAATTTAAGATATATATAAAAGTGTCAGACTTTCCTGAACACTTTCAAAAGTTAAGTTAAAAATGTTAACTTTTTGTGAAAAAGTTGTCATTTTAAATCCCCACCCTGTGGGTAAGTATAAGGTCAGATTTGGAAAAAAATATATACCAAATGATAGGTAAAGACATAAAGCATCTATTAAAAAAAATTATATTGATTTGTTCATTTTTGAAAAAGTAGCGGTTAAAGTTTTAAGTAAAAAAAATTGAACAAATTTCGAAAATTAGAGATTTTTGAATTTGTAATTTTTTTGAAGGTTTCCCCCATTAACGGGGAACGAGGGAAATTTTTTCAATTTTGAAGGGTAATGTCTTCGACTAGATACGATTTGTGATCTTTTGACGTATCGTTGAAAGAAATCCGTTCGGTGAGAGCTGAGAAAAAGTGGTAACAGACACAAAAAAAANAATCCGTTCGGTGAGAGCTGAGAAAAAATGGTAACAGACAAAAAAAAAATAACACATAGTAAAAATAATACCTTCTCAACGTCGCATCGAAGCTAAAAAAAATGTTATAAAGTATTCCAGCATGTTCTGAAAAGTGTTTTTAACTGTGGTCTAGTTAATATTTTGTAATAATTATTTTTTAAAGAATGTTATACTTCATGATTTAAAAAATATTATTATGAATAATATTATTAATTTTATTAGGCGCTGTAGAGCAGTAGTTGTTTTGAGAAAATAGATACTAAATAAAAATTCGTCTTATCCGAAAAATGTTTTTAATGTGTCTACCATTGACTCTCAAACGTCTCCCTTGACATCATCCGATGCGTCGTCTCGCAATAATAAATGTATTTATTGCACCACAGACACACATGTACACTATCGTTTTTCGTTATTCAGTTGAAAACAGTTTTCAGTTCAAAGACGCCGTGATTTTGTCAAATCAAACAAACTATGTTTTTCGTGCACTAGACCTTCTCATATAGTCAACGCTTTTACCTCCACGTCAACTCGTAGACAATCTAACAACCTTTATCATACAATGCTACACTTGGATTTCAAGTCAAATGTTTCATCGACCAACTACATCAGACTCCGAACAATCTACACCCGAAGAATCAAACGTCCAGTTTGCCGGCACCGCACGTACGAATTGCACCGTAGAGATCGGTACGGCCGTTGTTCGTGTTTTGGATAAACATTGTAATAGTCACTCGGTCCGCTTACTATTAGGCAGCGGCTCTCAAATTTCAGCAATTGCCAACGAGTGCGGTTCGCGTATTGGATTCGCTCGTCGTCCGTGTCAAACAGAATTCAACGGCCTAACTCACAGTTGGTCAAGTTTGTACCTCTTGTATTTTCGTGCCTCGTTTGACATTCGATTTTCAGTTGCAAAGACTTTTTTATTTTACCGAAAATAACGTCGCAAATGCCTACCGTCTACCGTTCGTGCACAGTGCGGTCATTTGTTATTAGCCGACCACCCGCAATTCTATCAACCGGCGTGTATTGACATGCTCATCGGTAGTGACGCGTTTCTTAATTTGAATCGGCTTAATAAAAATGACCGTTCATTCTGATGGATGGCCATCAGCAATTAATACTTATCTTAGCTGAGTAATAGTAGGCCAGATAAGTCAGTCACTTTACAGTTGGTCGCCGCAAACAGTTTTAACAGCTATCGTTGCACTATCTATGTCCATTGTTTAATAACTCGTCTCGAATTATTCATTTTCATCTTTCGCAAATGGTATCAACTACTAAACCCAAGTTTAATACAAGTTTGTACAACGCCAATAAAAACATCTACAATCATCGGTCTTCTGTTTATCTTACTCGATGTTCTTTACTACCATCAAGATCCACAAAAGCACCAGCATTACGTCACGATTACAGAACTATTTACAACGGCGAGTGTTCAGCGTACAACTCAACACCACCGCGTAACTCGCGACTCGCTGCCCGTTCGCTTTTTGACGCTCTTTAACTATTTTGCTCGCAATCTTTTTAATTTTTAATGTATAATAAACACGTTCAATCAAGTTATTTTGAACGTTTTGGTCTTTCAATGCGAGGAGTATGTTTGGTACACAATAATAGTTTATTTTCTATGGAAATTTAAGTCTAAACATTCATTATTTAATTATTTTACTTTAGTACAATTTAAAAAATAATCAACAGTGTTTTTATTTCTATAAAATATCACAATGCCACCAAAGAAAAGCGTATTTAGAAGAGTTTTAAACTTTATTAGGAAGTTGTGTAAAAGAAATAATAAAAAAAATGTAGCTGATATCAAGGCAACTAATGAAAACGCTGCTGCGAGTGGAGACTTGTTATGTCCGATGGTGCCATCGAAAGGTACTACCGATGAAAGAATAAATGGTTTGTAGTTATTTTGTATAATTGTAAGCACAGCTTGTAAGTTTATGCATTAATATATTATTTTTACAATTTTCTGAAAACACTTAGTCCGTTCAAATTTATTTTAAGATATTACAAAAACACAAACAAATTTTCTAAAAAAAGAAGACATTAAACCTTTTAATACAAATGCATTGTTAATTGTGAATTTGACTTAATACACATGAATTTTGTTGATTATTAGTGCCTTGAAAATACTTTATACTCTATTAAATTTATTTTATTATGACTTCTTACACTTCCATACTATACTATTTTTTAGATGTTTTAATAAGTCCCTAGTTTATAACTATATCTCATTTTATAGATATGATTCAAGACTTTATCCATTCCGAAGAATCTAATCAGTGTTATACTGGTAGCGTACCAGTAAAACGCGAGAATGGACAAACAACTATAGCCGACAAAATAATCGACTTGAGGGGGTCAATAAAACGTGAAATATTAAATGACCCAGAATTGGAAAACATCATTCGAAGTAGTTATTCATATTTTAAATTATTATTCTATAAAGATATATAATGACTTAGTTTAAAAAATAAGGAAGTGTATTCCTGGCTACACAACTTATTAATTGTCTTAAAGTATCCATAATTTATACCAAAATTATATTTAATAGATCAGATTCAAGATTTAATGTCTGAATTCATCCAGGGAATTGTTCAGAATTATTTAAGGGAATCTACCGATTACTCGGTAAATAATATTAGTGGTCCAGTAAAACGCAAGGAAGATGAAATAAATATGAACAAAAAACTAACCGAGTTGAAGGACTTACGGAAAATTAATGGTAAATCTATATTTTTTAATTTTATAGAAAAAAAACAATAAGAAAATGCTTGTATATATTTATACATTTAAGTACTGTATTAATTTCATTATAATAAGTCACTTTGCATGTTTTCTAAACATGCAACTATAACATTTATAGATTTTATTCCTCCAGCTCCACCACTTTTCCAAACTCCGCCAACGCTTCCAAAAGCGTATAATAATATTAGAAACAAAGGTAAAGTAGATAGACCAACTCTACCAATGAATCTTATCGATGAAATAAAACGCGGTGTGAAATTGAAGGTAAAATGTTTAACAATTAATAATTGAATATGATGCAAATTCTATATTACAGTTTTATGTAAGCAGTATAATTTCCTAAAAGTCAAATTTTCACAATATTTTGATTACAGTTAAATTTTTTATAGTTTTTAATTGTTTTTTTTCGTACTTATGAAGTGGATCATGTATTAATGAACAACATTTTTAACATTTCTTACTATCAAAACATTTTTAATTACCAATTAAGTTAGATGAGATAATTTCACCTATATTAATTATATTTAAAAATATAAAAACATTAGTATATGTGTTTGATTTTTTAATTTTATATAGCCAGTAAAACCAGTGGTTAAAGTATTAAAAAAACCAATTGCAGATGAAAAAAATATTCAAGGAATGAACCCATTGAATAGTACTTGTATATATACATAGATAATCATTATTTATGTTATCTAAATATGAACATTTTCCAGATTTCATCCCTTCATCTCCGCCACTTTCCCGAACTTTACCAACGCTTCTAAAAGTGGATAATATTAAAAACAAAGGTAAAGTTGATAGACTAACTCTACCAATGAACCTATTGGATGAAATCAAACGGGGCATTAAATTGAAGGTAAACTTTTTTAACAATTAATAATTGAGTTTAGTGCGAATTCCTTATTATAGCCAAATGTAAGTATTATAAACATTCAAATATAATTTCCTAAAAATCCATGTTTTCCAGATGGTTAAATGTTAATATGTATTTCAATGAATTTATAAATAATTTAGTCCTGTAAATTCACATAGTCATGGCATAAGCCTCTCGCCGCCCACACGAACAAATTTTTTCAATGATTTTATTTTATTTTTTTGTTATACTTGTGAGGTGAATATGAAATGAATATTAATAAATCGCATTTTAAACACTTTCTGAAAATAAAAAATTATGGTCTACAAACCCAGTTAGAAAAGTTTTAAAAATTTCTGTTTCAATATTGTTTCACTGCGGAATGCACTTCACTTGTGTTATCTAAATGTTGTAGTTAATATTTTTTTCTTGTCTTAATAGTTGTTTTTTTTCTTATTTGTCCCTTAATTTTCTGAATGGTTTTTGCCTTCGTGTTTTGTGTATTAATAATGCCACAAGTCCACGCTCACTTGTACACTATTTAGGATTCGTATTTTAAACACTTCATAAGAATATGAAATATATATGTATATATATATACATGTCATATATATTAATATTTTTACAAATTAATTAATACTTTTTATTAACCCTGTATGTGTTAGTTAAATTTTTTTTTTTATATTATCAATTACCTCGAATAAGTGATCAGTTATTTATTTAACCATTAGGTGGTGATTCCACAATTTGTTGCGTGACCCAAGTAGTCAAAATAAAATTCTTACAAATATATATAACCTTAGTACAAGATTTTTTAATTTTTTATAGCCGGTGAAGCCAGTGGTTATAAAAAAACCAATGATAGATGAAAAAGATATACAAAGAATGAACTCATTAGATACTGTCATGTTCTGTCGGTCAAATATGAGGCCGAGCAGTTCTAGCTCCGATTCTTCATCGGAATACTTTTCTCTAGATGAATGGGTTTAACTAAATAAAAATTAATCGAAAAGAAAAGCCTGGATAAATAATGTCAAGTTATATTTAAAAAGTCAACTGCTCTGGAGCATAGTAGGAGGGTAATCAAAGGGTGACCAAGATGAACTGAGGATACCGGTTTGTTTAATACGGACAGACAACCGGACACAAACGGATCATCCCTTGACTTTGTACTTACTGTGTTTTCAATACCAGAACCATTAACCAAATGCTAACAGCGATGTTGGAGGTTTTTGAAAGAAACTTTTTAATTACAAATTTAATACTATTATCCATGCTAATATTTTCAATTTTTTTCTAAAAATGTAAGGTGTTGTTTAATTATGACTTATTTTACTTGTACTCAAAATTCTAATAAACTAACTCAATTAATAATATATTATTACTTTATATAAATTCTATATTACATTTTCTTATAAGTTTCATCAATAATCAATAGTTTATTTTAATTATTAAAAAAAAACTATTGACCTTTATCCGAAATAAGAAAATGATCAGTTAAATTAAAATTATAAGATGGAATATAGTAAGGCAATCAGATTGAAATTAAGTGTTTCTCTTTAGATATTTGTTTAATTCTTTAAAATTAAGGGTATTTATTTAGTAGAGAACGCCTTCAGTAAAGACCTAGTGGACCAGTTGTCACAAACACTGTTGATTATATTATATCGTGTGACAGCTGATCTCTAGCGTTTTTGCTTTACTCACCCCTTTGCCCACCCAGTAGGGCAAATCGATGACCTCAGTGACAATTGTCATCCGTGTACAGTTCATCGTCGTCCGTCGGTGAATCAATTTTTTATGTGTCATCTTCCGTTTCGTAGCAAGCCCCTTCGCTTGAAACGTAAATTATTCGGGAATTTTACGCCGTTTTTTTTATTATTTGTTTATTGCGCCCTTGTGCTCAAAGTTCTTGTGCCTTTGCACACTTCCAGTGGTTGGGCTTTGACTATCACGAAATAACTTCACTGCCGTAGTCGCTTTTTCGCCGTCTGTTTTCATCTACACTCTGACTCGTGATATTCAGATGTTCGACACCATTACTACAAGATCTCATACAGTCCTACTTATCTCATACTCACCACTATCAACGACTTCATTTATTCAGTTGAGTTTTAAATTGTTTTTTAATGTTATTTATTATTTGTTTTAATTGAGTTTAAATATTTTGTTTATGACGCTTCGACTGCCATTAAAATTTAAGGGCCCCCACTACCCCTTAAATTGAAGATACTTATTAAAGAACCTTTAATATATATAGTTATTTGTTATTAAATATTGTCTACTCTCGTTACTTATTGAAGTGTGCGGTTAGCCGTCATCCTCCCAGGCTACCCATCTCTTCAATAATGGTGATTTAAACAGGCTTAAGATATGACGGCATTCTAGTGCGGTGCACAACTAGTCGTCCTACGGTCTGGCCGCTTCGTACGAAACAGCAGGTTTAAATAAAATGATGGTAAAAATTTTTTTATTAATGTACAGTAGTTAAATTTGTACAGCGCTTTAGAATTTGTTCATTTTATTTACAGTATCAAGCGTTGACATATGTCGTGAAGAAAAAAACAGAAGAGAACGTAGTTATAGAGGATCTTATGATTTATTGATAACACAGAACTCCAGTAATTTTCTTGTTTATATTTTTTATATCAATTTTTAATGGAATTTCGAGGCTGATTCCGAATATGGACAAGTGCGACTGAGAAATATCTAATAATTAAATAGTTATATCTCCCCCAGTCTGATTTTTAAAACTGCCATAACTTTTGAAGTGCTGGTTCAAAAGCTGCTATCGACCCGTAATTTACTTAGTGAGATCATTTTATATTTTAGATGCTAGTTTAATATATATTTAGCCAAATAAAAAAAATAAGTGAACACCTCCTAGGGTTGGTTTTAAAAAGTAACTGGTGGCTAACGAATCAAGAAATATATGTAAATTAAAATTTTTTCTCAATATTATATCCATTTTGTGAATAATTTTGTTTTATGATGTTAATGCTTAAGGGAGAGGTAGAGTGTGGTCGGAAATATCTGTTATAAAAATCGCTGCAATTAGTTTACTATTTAAAGTAATTATTATATTATTGTACTATTGTCTCGTGATTAAAATTAAACATAATTATTAGAACTTTCAATTTTGAAGATTTATATAAAACTAGATCATTATTTTTTGGTTTATGATTGGTAATTTTTATTTTAGAAAATTCCCATTTTAATATGTTAAAACAATTTTAAGAATGATATTTATTTATGTTTTATTTGTGTAGCGACATCTTACGGTCGATAAATGTTAAATTCAAAAAATCGTTGTTACCATTGTAATATAGATTACAGTATGCTTACTAAATAAATAAGATGTGTAGACTATCACGCTTAGGCTTATTCAGACTTATTAAAAGTTAAATACCCAAAACAGTCTAAATCAGCATAGTGGAAACTATTATAAATTGATATTTTTAATTGAATTTTTACAAATAGTACATTGAAAAAAATACTTAGTAAAGTATATTTTATTTAATTTTCATAAAGATTCCGCGGTTATTTATAAAAGTATTGGGATATTTAATATAGAAAAATTTTAATGTTAACATTTATAACAGGTTTAGGACTTTTTTTAACATCTAAAATTAAGGATTTTTTCAATTTTTGACAAGATCAAAATCGGAATTCTTTGACATATTATAATTTCTAATAAGTTCCTTCACTAGAAACCAAAATTTTTAAATTTATTTATTCTGGATAAGAAAATTTTCCAGTTTTCAGTTTTATTGTCATGGTGTTCTGAAAATGTCACATTTTGAAAATGTCAAAATATCACGTTAACGCCGTAACAACAATATATGTCCTTACAGTGTTCAACACAAATCCGATGTTTTCCATAATCATAATGTATTTTTAGATATTTAAACCGAAAATAATACGGTACTTCATATATATATATATATATCTCATAGTATTTAGAACGGAGGAAGAAATAATATTGTTGCGGTTTTTAATTTTAATTTACATCTGTAATAATATTGACATTCAAAAGTTCCGAAAAAAATATTGCAAAATGGATTTGAACACATGTTTGATTTATATTGTTGTTAAAAATATTTATAATATAATAATTCTTACTACTTTATTAAAAATTTGATTCAAAACTTAATATTCCTTTTTTTTATTTTTTAAGTTGTAATTCATTGATCGATTAATAACTATGAACGCCGTCGGTAATAATAAAGAAAATTAACAATTCAGTGAGAAATAAAATTAAAATGTTGAAAGCAATTTGATAGTTGTTTTTTTAACTTAAAGTTCTGTAACTATTTTCAAATTAATCTGCTTTTATATCAGAAAATCATAGTTGTGTTAAAAATATAAAATTTAAATGTAACTATTTTTAATTCTAATTTGTTTGGCTACTAACTTTGAAGCTAAGCTAATTAAAATATATGATATTTATTTACTTATATATTTGTATATTTTACGGGACAAACTTACGATAAACATTATAATTGATAGCCATCATAAATAACACAGTATATTAAACAATATAGTTAACAAAAATAAACTACGAGGACAAAGTACTCAAATTCAGATTTATCATACTTACTAAAAACATTATAGAAATTTAACAATTTAATATTATATTTATTACAGTTAGATATTATCCATTAGACAGGTGAATTATTCATATAATTAGCTTTTTTTTACAAAGACGGCTATAAAATATTATATTACTGTAGTGATATGACAAAATTTTGTCTTCCTTCGATTTTCACAAAAACAAATATTGTCAGAACGTCTAATAACTATTAATGATTTTTAAACTAAAAATAATTTAATACACGTTATATTTGTTAAAAATAAACATATTATATTCATAATATTTCGGAATTTCTTCCAGAAATAAGGAAAATGTTAATTTATTACGAATAGAAATTATGTAATACAGTTTTTAAAACTTTTTATAAATTATAATAATATCAAAGAAAGTAAAAGCATATATTATATAAAATTTAATCAGCCGAGCATTATTTAAAATTTGTATATTAGAGTTTTACGTCTTATAAAAATTTCTGATAACTGTATTAGTAAAATACTAACACTATCTTTTTAATTTCTTTTAAACATCAGGTAATTGGCTCACTTGAGTAGTATCCGTCAATGAATCATACAGGAAACCCAGTTCATGATGAAAGTCTAATAATGAAGAAATGGTTTCGTTTAAATCTTTGTCTAACGATTTGACTATTTCGCTAGGAAAAACACCACTGATTTGTTTTTTGAGAACGTCTGTAGTTATCATAGAAGGTGTGTTATATTTTATATGATGTAAGTCATCTACTACACATACTTTTTTTATATAACAACGCATATTACCATCAAGGTTGTTCAGTATTCTTAAGAATTTGTCGAAATCTGTTAATTTCATTGTGTTTTCAATGGTAGTTACAAAATGTTCAAAATCATTTGGGAGATTATTATTAACTGAATTACTGTTCCACATATCCGCCAAAAATAACATTGAACTTTTCATAGGCAACATTAGGAAATAACAATTTTTTACTCTTTCCTTTAAATAATCAAGACAATTGAAAGACTCGATATTAATATTGATTTGCTGACATAGATATCCTATGTGTCTTAAATAATCATTTAATTCCATCAAATTTATTGTGTTATGGCAGCTTAATATTAACAATACTTTTCGTATTTTTTCATTTATATTTTGATTAGTAGAAAAGTCTGAGTGATCCAATAGGCTTGATAAAAAAAACCTGTTTTCTCCTTCATTAATACCCATAAATAAATTGTTTGTGTTCCATCCGTTATGTTGTAGAAGCAAGTCCATAGTGGCTGTAATAGAGTCCAGAGTGGATATATCTGAAGCGGCACAAATCGATACAAAGTACAATAAATTACTCAGTTGCATCTTTGTAAAGTTAAAACAAATATCCTTTAGCTTTGACAATTTTTATTTTTATTGAAAAGAATTTTCATTTTGAATATTTATACTAAAATGTCACAAGAAATAAAATTAATTACTTAACTATTTGCATTAAAATTAAGGTATATATTTTTATTGATAAATTTAGGTTTTAGTCAAATAACAAAATATGCATACGGTATGTTTCGTTTATCATAAACCAGTTTATTACTCGCAAAGTAAATGCAATATTGAAAATAGTTTATTTTAGTATTTATAATTTTTGATTTATCACATATTAATTACTTTTTAGTTTAAGTTCTTATAACTTATATGGATGTTGAATATATATATATATATATTTGATGGAATCGCAATTTTAACTAGCTCATAAAATATAGAATTATCTAATAAAAAAAAAAAGGACAGGTCTCATAACAACTTTTGGGCCAAAGGAAATTATTTACATTTTATACCTGGATCAGTATTACCAAATAATGACTATAGTCTACTCAGTCTATATTTTAAAAATATCATAACTTTTAAAATACTGATAAAATACTTTTTTTGAAATTTATAGTATACTGTATAAGGAACTTTTTGAAATGAAAAAATTATATTATGTTTTATATTTTTAAAAACATTGCGTAAGTAATAGTTAATTATTCATCTTACATTTTAAGCATAACGAATTGAATTTAACCATTCCGTAATTATAGTTCAAATTTTTTCAGGCGTATGTTTGGCGTATTAAGTGTTGCTGCTCATTAATATAATAAAAAACGTAAATAATAGATCTATTATAACTTTCTAGTTTTACAAAATATTACTGTGATATGTTTTATAATAAATTAATAAAGAATGTTTTTTTTGTAAAGAGTCTAATAACTTCTTGTTATACATTGAAAACGCTTTAATTTTTTTTTTGTTGAATAAAAGTCGCATATTTGCTTGATGGTTTTCCTTGTTTGAAGGAGTTATACGTGGTAAACATCAGTTGATTGTTTGAATTTAATAAGTCAAACTTTCATTATCTCATACTATTACGCATGACTATTAGTTTACAAAATACTTTTGACAATAACTGTAATAACTAGTATTTTTGGTAACAAACATCTGATTATAATTGCACTATACTTATCACACTCTTCGAGCAATTGACAAAAATGTAAACAAAATTTAAACGGTGTCGACGAGCTGAAACATTTTTCAAAAGGATTTAAAAGGGGCCCATCCTAAGCCTACTTTTCCTTTTTTTTTTTAGATTTATAAGCCACGAAAAGGCAATAAAATCAACTGACACCTCTGTCGCGATTACGAGTAGGAGAAGATGAGTGATGGACGGGACACGAATAACTGTCCATATAATGATACAACACAATGAGAACTGCTGTCCCGGTGCTGAACTTGAGAGACTTAGGAAGCGGGGAGTGGCCTCTGACTACCACAACTCGAACATACTACAACGGTAGCGGCGTCCGTATGATTTCCCGTCACGCACGTGTCTGCCTTCGCGAAAACCCGGACGTGTCGTCCACCGTTGATACCGCTGCCGTCTTCGCTATCATTGCAATTACACACATAGCCACCACAGCACTTGGGGCGTGCGTGTTGAGACGCTCGAGCTACTGTCGGCAGGGCTTGACGCTGAATATTGTGCTCGTTGTTGGCCGTCGAACGCACCGACCCCACTGCCAAACAGTATGTCGGCGTCCGGCGGCCCGAGTATACCATCGCTCGTATGCGTCCCGGGCTCCCCATAGTATTACTCTCTTGTTGTACCACTTGCAAACAATAAAAAATAAGAAGATATAAACGCTAAATTCTCACATTTTTTCCGCCAATAGTATTATTTGAATCGATTCTTAATGTCGTTTATAAGTACTCGTAGCGAGTTAAGTATTTGAGTTGTAGTTAATTTTAGAGAAGCACGGTTGTGCCCGCGCTTTCCGTTAAAATAAGCACGGTCTTGGACGCTACTGCACCTCTATACAGGAGACGGCAGTGTGTCAACACGGAGCGCTGAAGGTGGCTTCTAACGGCTGCGAGCCAGTGACATCAAGCGCACGATGAGACGCGATGAGGTCCGCCAGCTCCGAACTGTTGCTGGACACCAAGCAGCAGCAGCTCCGCAAGAAGAAGCTGCTGGAATTAGCGGCGGCCAAAAAGCAGAAACGTTGCAAGCAACGGACGATCCGGGAAAAATTATGGTTTTACTCGACGCTGTCGTTCGCAATGATCGCCGTGGGCTCGGGATCAGCACTACTGTTCCTGGTTCCTCTTTATGTGGATCCGGCAGTGTCTACTTTATTAGCCGATTTCGTTACCGAGCCTGTACAATGCACGACGGTGCGTCGCGAGGAACTGACTGGGTTGTACAACTGCACGTGGAGCTCATGCAGAGAGGGATGCACCAGCGACGTGTACCGGTGCAATCATATTTACGTGACTTATCGGGAGGAAGAAAACGGCAAGATGATTCCCGAGGCTGTGCTATTAGTCAACATAAAGGGTTGTGGGTACCCTCCAGCAGTGTCTTGTACCAACTTCACCGGCGCGTACAGTCGGCCGGGTTCGACATTTCCGTGTCACTATTCCCGACAAAACCATACACTGGTGGTAAGCGACTACGACCAGCGACAGCAGTACGCCGACATTGTAAACTATTTTGCCGTCCCGTTCACCGTGTGTGTCGTCACTTCGGTGATTTTGTGTGTTATGCACTGCGATTGTCAAGAAATTACATCTGCCGGCGCCGGACAGGTAGACGCGAGCAGAAGTTTTACCGGTCAATCTCAAATCGAAGGTTACAGGTAATGAAACGTTAAATAACTTCTAGTCATTTATTTGCGTTTGTTTACGAGCCATTAAATTTAACGTGACTGTAAAACTTTTATGGACAATTTTCTACAATACAACATCCGTTACAAGTTAAGTGGGTTTTTAGTTATACGCATTGTATTAACAATAATTTATCAGCGTCGAAAGATTACTTCGGCTCTTCAAGTTTAAACGCACCACATAAGAAATACGATTGTTTGTTCGACATGGTTAATTTACAGTGAAAAGCTAAACGTATAGAACTAAATTGAAATTTCAGTTAGAAATAATCTGAAATAAAAAAAAAAAAATTGGAAATAAATCTTTTAAAATCGTTTAAACCCTGAATTTGAGTGCTTATTTTTTAATAAAATATAAGGGAATAAACTTTAAGTACATAGATAAAGCCTAAATTTGTTGACTCGAGTAAATACTTTATAAACAAACCAATATTTTGCAACTATTAAAATTATTAATGAAAAATCGTAGGAACCATTTTCATACATTAGTAAAAGGGAAATAAATCATTTATCAACAGTATTTCATTTAAAACTTTGACGATTCGGGGTAACATTATTTTCTGCTTTTAGAAATTAATTTTAAGACTTTTGCTCGTCTAACATATTTTGGAAAACAATGAAACAGCAAAAAATAAGCTTTCAATCCAGTCAATGCGCTCTTTCAGTCTTAGTGTTCTAAAATAGTTGCCCCCATTATTTTGTACATTGACATACACCTATTTATTTGAAATATTAAAGTGCAGTTTTACACTTTATTACCTTAGGGCGGTGAAAGTACATTTAATAAATAATGCTTAGTATCGCAATTATTTTTAAATTAACCTTTGTTACTTTGGTCGATCAATTCATTTCTCGAAAATTATCCAAAGGAATACCTTGTTAACTTTAGCAAGTTTCATTATAAAAAATCGTGTCTTTGACTATTTTCAATCCATTTCATCACCTCCACTTTTTCATGGTAACTAAATACAATAGTGACGGGGCCATTGCGTTTTTAACCTATACAAAACTATTGACTAGCTTTTGACGGAAGTATATATTATTTTTTTCGAATAAAACTGTCAATGTTTTTCGATAACACGATATTTGAAATATGAACAAATATAATGATACCACTATCATTGTATTATTAAAAAGCTTTTTTTTTTTTCACTCATAATTTTGGTGGTTATTTTAAGCTGACCTGGATATTTAGGCCGATGCTCTATGTCTTGACCCAACTGATTATTTTTGAAGGCACGTTACATTCATATTATCAAATAATGGACGTAAAATAGAAAAATTTTAATCCAAACAAATTACAAATCATAAATAAAGTCCTATTGATTTTTGGTTACAGTAAGATAAAATTTGAAAAAATATTTATAATTTAAAATAACAGAAAATAAAATGAAAGAATAAATTTTATAAATTAAGAAATATTAAAACAATTACAATGTTTTAGCTTCGATGCGAAGCTGAGAAGGTATTGGTTTTACTAAGATGTGTTTTTTTTTTTTTTTTTGTCTGTTACCACTTTTTCTCAGCTCTCACCGAACCGATTTCTTTCAATGATACGTCAAAAGATCACAAATCGTATCTAGTCGAAGACATTACCCTCAAAAATTGAAAAAAATTCCCTCGTTCCCCGTAAATGGGGGAAACCTCCAAAAAAATTACAAATTTAAAAATGGCTAATTTTCGAAATTTTTTCAATTTTTTTTACTTAAAAGTGCCATAACTTTTTAAAAAATGAACATATAAATATAATTCTTTTTTATATAGATGCATAATATCATTACCTTTCGTTTGGTATATTTTTTTTATAAATCTGACTTTTTACCTGCCCACAGGGGGGGATTTAAAATGACAACTTTTTTACAAAAAATTAATTTTTTCAACTTAAATTTTGAAAGTGTTCCGGAAAGTCTGACACTTTTCTATATATATTAAATTAAAGTTAATGTAATATACTTTATTATGGTAAAAAAAAAATTTCGTACTTTATTTTGTCTTCAGGGTGAAATTGGCTACCAAATGCTATTATTGTGTGAAAATTCTCAATTTTATTTTTTTATTTTTACCTTTATAATGCTATAACATATTGAAAAGTGTATGGATCAACATTATTTTTTTATGAGAAATAATATTTTTTAATAATCCCTCTTTCATTCGATATACTTTATCTGAATCAGGATATTAATAACGAATTAGCAGATCATGTTGCTTTTGGAATAATCCACCTATTTTTTAAAATTAAACACTATCTAAAGATTTGCATCGAAGCGTTTTTTATGATAGTGATTTTAATCACTGTCAGATATCATTATACTTGATCCAAATATGTCACGTCACCACTGTGCCGCGACCCTCCTGTGCTGGGATTTTTTTTTTTTTATTTTCCTATGAGTGATTTAGTTAACAGTCTGAAAACATTATAAGTTAAAATGTTTTAAAATATCTTATAAGAGATAATTGGTACTATATTTTATGCGTTAAAGGGAAAAACTGGGAAAGTTGTCGTATGGAGTAAGATGATGTTCTTGGAGTAAAAAAAGTTTTGTAATTTTGTAAATTTCCCAAGGAAATATTTTTTAACATACTAACCAAACAAGACAAATTTTCAAAAATAATTTAAAGTAACATGTGTGTTTGTTTTAAATCACATGTATAACTTTTTTTTAGAAGAATGATATAATATTGTTATTTTACAGCATTAAGTTTAAACGTAAGCATGACTAAAAAGATCAAAGTTTTTTTATTACAAATAGCCCAAGAAAAACTTTATTAATAATAATTATTTGAAATTTTAAGTCTTATTTAAACTATGGGAGTTTTAGGGGAAAAATAAAAAAACCTGATTGTTATGATTTTATTGTTGTCGTTATTTTGTCAATAGGTTTCGGTACTAATTACGAATCATTAATAATTACATTTAATTTTATCAACTACCCAATAAATTTATACATATATATTAATAGATTTATAAAAGTCTGTTATAAATATTCTAAGAATTTAATATCAGGGACAGAATAGAACAGAGAAAAAGGTTGATGAACTGAAACTTTTTTTATATTTAGAACCTAAATTATTACTAACTAGATTGGTCAGTCGTCGCCTAACTATGGTATTTGGTAGTTTGACTGACCAACACTGCGTACCATACGCCACGGTTCGAAGTCCAGCCAGTGTCGGACGGTCGAAGACGACCCGCCGCAAATGATACGTTGAGTATTCTTCCCGTTGTCAAAGTGACGACGTCGAGCAAGTACGCCACTGGTTCCAGACGTGTCGCACGGCCGAATAAGGCGAACCGATCCGCATTCGCGCACCATCGTCATCAACACTGTTAACTTTTTGACGCCGAAGATCATGTCGGACACCGCGTCGCCGACGCCAGCGAAAGTGCCGCAATATTATGTAAACATTTTAATTAACTGTGTTCGTCTTTTCGGATCCTTTTTAAAATAATCTGTTATAACTCATCATTAATAAGCGAACCTTAATTTATAAAGGTTATAATTTTTAACGGTTATTAGGTTTTTTTCAATATCTTATATCGTATCATAACGTATATTAACGTAGGGACTTTATTAGCTGAAATTAATTTATATTTCTAATCATCAACTGTTTCTAAGAAAACAATTGATTTATCCAAATTCAATAAACTAGAGTTCGAGTCTAAGTATTATTTAGAATGGTTTTTTTTTAATTTTAGAAGGGCTCTCCTATTATATACGCTAGAGAATTCCTTAAATAAAACTACTTTACTCTCACGGAAAGCGGAGGTATAGGAAAATAACTCCTCCATGACAAAAATAAAAACTGTATTTTATTTTGAAGGGGATGTTAAATATTTCTTATGAGTATATGCACTCAAGACTTAATTCCAAAAAAGTATCTGTTCTATGAACTATTATCATCATATAATTAATTAATATAATCATTGATTATATTAATTTGTTCAACTTAGATTAGAACCTATATTTTCGGTAATCAAAACTTGTATTTTAAGTAGCAAAATAAGGTAAACTGAACCAATATTCTGAAATATTGAACTTATATATCATCTAGTTAACTAAGAAAACGAGTACCTAAATACTATCTTAGATGAAATATACTTTAATTTAAGTAAATATATCTTGATAAATAAAATGTTTCTTGATTTTTTTTTATCGTATTAGTATTTTATATTTATACTTTACATTTTAGTTGACATTTTGTTCTACCGAGAATCAAACAATATAAAAATATTTCTACGCTATTCTGAAAAATAATTTTTTTTTTTAGTTTTTGAGGTAATCGACCTCACTGCTTTCTTGGAGACAGAATATTATCTATTATTTTTAACAGTACGGAATTAAAACTGAAAACTAATGATAAACACTTGTATTATTTCAACTATAATTATTGAAATCAAAACAAAATACTGTGGTTTAGGAACATATTTAAGGGATTACTGCTAGTAATATTTTTTAAAGCCGATATTGAGGAAATGTGAATCCAAAGACCTTTTTTTTTTTTGGTTGTCATTTTGCATTTTATCAAAAATAAAAATTCTCTTGCATGCCTACCAAAGTAAAAAAATAATAATAAGTCACCTACCCCCCTTTAATCAGTTCTAAATTGAATTATAAATTCAAAAGAGACAACAATGTACACACTTACAAAACTTGATTAAAAAAAAAAAAACAGAAATTATATAAAGAGTGTAATAGATCTAACCTACAACTCATATAATTTATGATCTACATAACATTTTATATTTTTTTTTAATCAATTTTTACAATATAGAACTGTATTTAAAATATGTTTTATGTTATTTTTCGCAATTACAAAAAATATTTTAAAAATTAATTTTTTTTTAAGATTTGAAGATAGCCATTTTATAGATAAGTTTTAAAGAAAAATTTTGATACAAAAAACTCTTATTTGAATTCAGTAGTTACGTTTATACAGCATTTTTAAGTTTGTTAAATTTTGATTCTTTTTAC